TCAAGAGAAGAGAAAGAAGGCCCGGGACAGGAGGAGAGCTCTGAAGGAAAGAGACAGACACCGGCAAAGAAAGGAGAAGGTGAAAGCTAAGACTGGGGCTACTCAGGAGCTGGACTCTACGGAGGAGTGGGAAGAGAGGAAGTACTTGCTGGCTCAGAGGCGGGTTGAAGCCCTTCGTTTGCTCCGCGTACTCCTGAAGAAAATTGCAGTAAGGCTGTTTCCCAATTATTCTCTTCAGTTTTGGTACATACCAGTCTTTTTGAACCCCTACCTTTGGCTTCAAGTACTGTCCCACTAACAATGAACTGTGTGGCAGTCTTGTGGCATTCATAGGGGTTTCCTTTAAATTGCTTGCTCTCACATGGCCCCAACCCTGGATTTCTGAAACCAGTCTCTAAAACAGTCCTGTGTCAACTCTGCCCTCCCTCCGTGTTTCTAAACTCTAGGCTAGTATTCAGAACACTTTAGCTGCTCTGTCCTCTTCTGAGTTCCTAATGGATATGATGGGAACACTCCAGAGGTATCAAAGGGTGGGTGTTGTATGGGTGCTAGATCTGTAGCCTTCTATTAACTTTATTCATCCATCCATCTATAACAGGTTTGGATGAAAGGGGAGAAGAATCTTGAGCCTTGTCAGGCTCATATTAGCCTTGTCCTGAACTATCTGGTAAGGAGTTTTTAAACTCTCAGATTGATTATCTTCTTCACAAATTTCCATTTCTCTAAGATATTTCTCTCCCTTTATGGGCTCCTAGAGATTGCCAGAATCACAGATACCTTGGCGTAAAAGCCAGAGATGTTTTGGAAGTATTCAGTTAGAAGTCCATATGCAGTGTTTTTAAATAGGAAGAATGACAGCTGTTGCTACTCTGTCAAGGGAATTTTATGTCTATTTACAATGTTGATCTCTTGCTTGTTACTATAGATATCTAAACTTGGTGAAAGAAGGATCAGAAAAATATAATCTGACACTTGGATTATTGACAGCAAGCCCAGCTGGATTGGATTTTAGTTTACCTTAATGATGTCTAAGTGGGACCCTTTTTGTAGAATCCATCTCTTTAAGTGGACATGGAACCTATTCTGGAACCCACTAATACTTAGACTGATTACAAGTTAATAGGGGGTGCTGTACCCTGACGTGTGACAGACATCAGGGGAAACGTGCTGCAAACCTTCCTGGGGATGGGGTAGCAGGCTTCATTGTTCCCCTCCTCAGCTGTGCAGAACAGATTGCATCAGACTGGACCACAGGCAACAGGCAAATCTGTGGGCACAGCTACATTTTCTGCTTGGTGTTTTGCTTTTCTTTTCTGACTTTGTAAGGTGCAAGTGTTACACCACTAAACTGCATCTCTAGTCCTCCTGAATCTTCCATCTTAACGAGACTGGCCAGGTGGCTCAACTCAGAGACATCCTCAACTTGCAATCCATAGAAAAAAGATTGGAATATGAAATGGAGGGGCAGTTTATTAATTCAGTTGACCTTGTTGGAGATGTTTCACCCACATGTCTTTTCTTGTACTAGGGTTTCCTGTGAGAGCTACAGAGTATTCCCTATTCTCTAGCACCTATCATAAAACAGTATTGTCATAAATATTGTCATAAAACAGGCTTGTCAATTTTTGAACAAATAAAAAGAAGAAGGTGTTTTAAATGCCATGCCATAAGAATGGTCACAGAATTAGTAAAAACAGCTCATATTAAATCAGGACATTTAATTTAGTACTGTTTTCCTCAGTACAGTATTGTTCCTAATTTGGAACTAGCCTGGATTTCTTCAGAGCAACAGCGGCTCAATATTTGGAAAATTTCAATCTTTGTGTTTTGTTTTGAATTTTGGTTTACATTTATTTATTTTGTGTGTGAGCAGGGAGAGGCAGTATGCCACAGTGTGAGTGTGTGTGGAGGTCAGAGGACAACTTCAGAGAACTGAAGTCAGTCAGTTCTTTCCCTTCTCACATGTTGGTCCCTGGGTTAGAATTCAGATCATCAGGCTTAGCAGCAGGCGTCTTTACCTGCTGAACCATCTTGCTCTATTTGGCTTTTCATGAGTGATCATTAAATCTTTTTTCTTTAAAGGGATCCACACAGTGTGACCCACAAGAGTTTGATGCTATGAAGCCTGAAGCTCCTCACAGCCCAGGGGCTGCATTGAAACCTCCAGAGGAAGAAGAATTCAACGCACTGCAACTTACAGATCAGAAAGAAATGCCAGGTAATCAGGCTCCTAAGTCTGACAGTAAACAAAAACAAAAGGCGAAGAAAAAAACTAAGACCCACTTACAGAAGTCTTCACACAACCCTGCGGTGAAACAAGTAAGATACTCAACTAGAAAAGAGGAAACTGAAAAAGTGTTAACTGATGGGTACGATTACAGTTTGGTCTCTGACCAGAATTCCTTGCAGAGTACAATGAATCCAGACCAGTCACTTGAAAAAGAAGACCACGAAAGTTCTAACAAATCACATTTTTCTAGACAAGTTGTGCTAAACCATGGTAGGAAACAGAAGATCTATGAAACAGATGAATTTATTGACTATCTATTAAACTATTATCAGACTCCAGAGTATGCCCGATTCTGCTTCGAAGCAAGTTACCTAACAAGCACATGTCAGTGGCAGAGAGATGTCTATGCCAAGGGGGATGGGTTTCAGGTCAATTTGAGAAAACATGGGTGCCACTCAACCAGTAAGAGTGAAGTGGAGAGCCTGGAAAGGAAAGAACAGGATCCAGAGCAGGACTGGCCAAAGGTGTATATGAAGGCTCCTGGGAGCAAGTTAGAAAAGACAGAGAAGGTCAATTATGCCAAAGAATTTACTAAGCAATCTAAAAACCATTGCAAGGACATAGCAAGTGAAACTGAAGATCACCAATCCCCAGCTGATGGAGAAAGCTACCCAGTGGAAAACATTCACAGCCATGGAGTCAAAGATTCTCAACACACCTCATCCTTAAGGTCAGTGGACGTAGGTTTGCCATTGGCGGACTTCTTAGAGGAAATTAGTAGTGATTCTGAGTGCTTCAGTGAAACTCGTAGCATAAATGAAGAGGAGGAAGAAAGGTCTGTGGCTGTCTATAATAGCTCCCCTGAAAAAAGATCTCTTGGTACTGACAAAATCATTACTTGCAAACAGAAAAGTAGGTCAAGTCAGCAGACCTTGTATTCAGAGTGGAAACATGACACTGAGGAAAAATGCTCTAAACAGAAGGATAGAGCATCAGGTAAAAGGTCCAAGTATGAACTGAGATATTCTTGGCTTGAGGATGAATGTGATGCCATTCAAGTTGACAAGAACATAAGCAAAACTAGAGAAAAAATGGCCCCCAAATACATGCTTGATGAAGGCTTCTACCATGAATCCAGTTCCAGTGATGAATTAGAGAGCATCACAAGAAAGAGGAGGAGAGTTACTGGCAGTATGTTTGGCCAGAATGTGAACTATAGACCCCTTCCTATGCCATTAATGGCACCAAAACGTGCTAGAGCTTTCTATTTGGGATACTTCTCCAGAAAAAGGCAGAATCCTTGGAAGTCAGAATATAACCAGGATGTAAGAAGGTTTAAAAGATATGAAAGTTCCGAAGATTACATGCTTGATTCTGGTAATTATTATGTTAGTCACGACAACCAGGAGCACATTGAGTATGGAAGCTACTTAGGAGACAGCTACTCTGGCTCTTTGTATTTTAACATGTTCTGATGGCCACTTTGATCAGGAACACCTTTACTTAACAGGAAACAACTGACGAAAAGAAAAACTTCAAACCAAATATAGCTATGTTGTTAGCAACCACAGAGCAAGAACTAGAAAAGGGTCAAGTGCAACAGCTTGTTCCTCTTGCTGAAGTTTCCAAGTGTAGGTCAAAATGACTGCAGGTATGCCAGCAAGGAAATAGAAAACCTGTAGGTTCTGAAGCTTGGGGAAACAATGGAATTGCAAAACTTCATGGTCCAAGGACAGCTTTTATTTTAAGCTTTAATTTGGTGCCAGTAAAGGAGCAGACTAGCATTGAGAAGGCTGACTTATCCTTCTATGGCTCTTTTGCTGTAATAATATCTTGCATCATCTATCTTCAAAGAGAACAATAGTGGACAAAAAGGCATCTTTTGATGTGTTCTTAGATTTGGTCAGTAGCACTATGTATGGTAACAAACTTTCCTGAATTTTACTTCATAATTCTAGATAAAGGAGAGATCCAGATGCTAGAATCTATAATAGATTTCATGGCTTTAGAATTTCATGAATACCCACCAGAAGGAAATGAATATATTCCCAGTACTCAAAGAAGAATCAAAAGGGGCCGATTGCCCTTTGATAGTTAAATAGATGGGACCATTAGAATTTTTCTTGCTTGTTTTATGAACTCCAATCGCTTTCCATACAAAAATAAAAACCAGGATTGAATTTATAAAATCAGGGGGATTAGCAAAAGGAAATATCAACAAATCCTGGAGCATCAATCATGGCACTTGGGAAGAAAAGTTGTGACAGTATTCTATTTCAGGCTATGTAATCCTTTCACTCAGGGTTGGGTGACATCGGTTTGTAAAAAGTCACTGAATATCCCCCAAACTGTCTTTTATAAAACAGTAGCAAGTGCCTCCTCTGCCCTTAACAATGCCATGGAGTTAGGAAGAATTAAAAGAAAAGTCCATAGTTTTCTAGCTGTGGAAAACTTGTATGTGTGCAGAATTTGTAAACGATGTTAAATACGCAATTTATCTTTTTGCCGACTCGTTTTGGACTTCTTAAATATGTTTTTAAATTGAGATATTTGTAGATTCCTGAAGACTTACCCCTTATCACAGTGCATGTTCTATAGAAAGCGTGGCCAACTCTTTCTGCCTTACATTGGATTCAGGACCTCAGGGCAGTTAGTTGACCTTCGTTTGCTCAACAAAGCTATACCTGACCTGGCAATTGGTGATGAGTGAAATTTGAGACTGCCTACAACAGGAATAGTTGTTTGGCATCCACAGCATCAGTGAAGGGCAGCAATTTCATTTCAGTCTTGACTGGACATTCTGCAGGAAGGCATCTACTAGTGGGGGTGTCTAGGATGCCAGTCGGTGGGGTTACTATTGGGTCTTCCATTGTGTGCCCGTAAACTGCCTCTTGAGCAACCTGGTGTCTCAAGTGCTTACAAAATTTTATGATTGCCCTGAAGTAAAAGCCACAGGTTGTTTTATTGGTCTGCATATTCCTATTTGGAGAGAGGTATGTTCACCCATGTGAAGGTTCAGAAAGGCATGGAACAGATTCACGTGTTACTAATATAAAAACAAGTGACTAGCGTGCTGCCGCTCATGTTCAATCCCACTTAAAAGCCAGTGGTTGCTTTCACTGGTAAAGCTAGGTTTGACTTCCAATCCAAAAGATTGGTCACGGGTTGAGAGTGCCTTTTTGGTTTCATTTTTGAGGACTAGCAATGACTATTCGTGTACAAAGTACTGTTGCCCATAGTAGCCTTGGGAATTACTAACAGCTCATATTTTGTCAGACAGTTTTCTGGCAACATATTATTCTCCTCCAACAAAAATCTGCCCCCCCCATTTTATTCCACTGAAACAAACAAACAAAAAACCATTATGGGTTTGTAATAGAAAGCAGCTGATTGTTTTCAAACAAACAAAACCCATTCAATTTCTTCCCTCATTTGATCATTTTTTCATGAGGGATTTTAGGCAGTTTGTCTCAGTAAGAATTAAAAATCAAAGTGCAGAGTTCAGCAGCATGTGCAAGCGTTTTCTCTATTAGATGTGGTGCTAAGTCATTTTGATGCAGCACTTTTGTCCCATTTCATTTGTTTGCTGAATGCTCTTCTGGGGCCTACAAGTAAAAATCCCGCTTTTGCTGAACCCTGGGTTTTTTTTTTTTTTTTTTTTTATCTGTCTGTGGTAATGCATTGTAGATTTGCTTCAACCTCTTTTTTGGTGTAGACCTTAAGGGAGAAACGTAATAGCTTAATTTGTGCTTGTCATTCGGCGGCTTAGTAAAGAATGTAATGGAACAAACTGTTACGACTGCTTTATTTCTTGATATTGTTAAGTTGTGAAATGTATTTTCTCATATCTTCTTTTTGTCTTATCAGACAAGGGCCTGAGTTGTTTTTATTTAAATAGGGGTTTGTACGCTTTCCTTCTATGTGCTGCTAACCCTGTAAGGAGACGTCTGTAAATGTGCTTTGTTCATTTGTTTGAATTTCTCAGGTAGAAAGCCATGTAACCTAGGTAATTTGAAAACACAACCAAATCAATGTGTTTTTGTTGCAAAACTGTTTGAACGTGTTGATTTTAAAGTAAGTGGTGATTAATCCCACTTTGGGGGACGTTTCTCTCTGTAGTATATGTTGCGCTGATGTTGCTCTTTTTGCTTATTTGCATTGTTAGAGAAATGATGCATATTTTAATTTTCATATATTTAAAAATAAAATTGTCAATAGTGACAATAGTGACTATCGACTGATCATTGTACTGGCTAGATTGATGCATACACATAACATTTCTAACCCATTTCAATATTTTAATTCTACTTCTCCTTTATGATAGGAACTGACTCTGTCAGAGTTGATAGAACTAAAAGCCAGATTTTCATTCTGGATAAACTGAAATATTATTTAGACTCCTTCTCTAGGTACATCTAAAATTATTTTTGAGAATATCATACAGATATACAATATGTTCTAATCTGACCCCCACTTCTCTCCTCCATCTCACCCCCCCCTATTTTCCTAATACACTCCCTTCCAACTTAATTCTATTTTATTTTATCTTTTGATAGCCCACTATGTCTAGATAGTGCTGTGCATATGTTATTGGGCCATCCACTGAACCATGGGAAACTTACCAGTGGCCAAACCCTCAAAGAACGATCCCCCTCCCCAAGCAAATATCCACTGCAAATAGCACCTCAGTATAGGATGGGGCCTGGAGATTACATTTACCATCTATAGTAGGATTTTGACTGGATCATCCTTAGGCAGGTAGCCACAGCTGCTTAAGAAGACAGCATTTCACAGCATTCTTCCCACCCTCTGGCTCTTAGGTTCTTTCTGCCTCTGAAGTGATGACCCCAGGACCTTGCTGGTGATGGTGGGTGGGGTTAATATAGATGTCATGTTTAAGGATAAACACACAATACATCTTTTCACGACGGGGTCTCACTAGAAACCCTGGCTGGCTTTGAACTCCCCATCCTCTTGCCTCAGCCTCTCAAGTGCTGGAACAGGTATATGCTGCCATGTTTAGCATAGTGATTGACCAGTGCTGTTAAATGGTAGAAAAATTGACTCTGGAATTTCATTTCATCTCATTCCCTCAGTTGTGTATAGATGTTCAAAAATAAATGGATGTGGAATGGGGAGTCTATTCCAAAGAGCGTCCAGAATTTGCCTTTGATCATTCAAGAGTTAACTGTATCTATACATAAAGTAGCAAACTGCTTCAAAGTATTATATAATGAAGATAGACTGCACTTTTAACTCTGGGCACTTTAGAGCTGTAATGTTCCTTGTTAGGTTTCACAAGCTCTTTCTGAAACATTAAGGACTGTATGGATGCTTGTTCTGAATAAAAAAAAAAAACAATCCATGTCCCCTGGTAAGTTGATCACATTCTAGTCGATGGCCCCTTGCCTATGGGGCAGCATAAATTGAACGTTTGTGGGGAAAAAAAGAGGGCATATTATTGGAAGGGGATAGGAGTGAGTCTAAGAAGAATTAGGGGTAAAGTGGGGTATTGTGATTATGATCAAAGCACATTGCATGTAATAAATTCTCAAAGAAAAACAATTATTTAGGACAATAAAAGCCAAACACTCCTCCTGCCAAAAACCCCCTAAACTTCCTTAACACTTGGTAGCCTCAGTGCCTTCAGTAGTAACATTTCTTAATAACACTGTTAACAGACTTCAGTTTAGAAAGTTAACTCAGAGGCTGAATTTGACAAGTCACAGTATAGCTCACTATTTCTCAACTTGTATTCCTTTCTTCCTTCTCTATTTCCTTCCTATGCAGTTCAGGCAGGCCTTTAACTTATTATCTTCCTGCCTCAGTTTCCCAGTGCTAGGATTACATGGTTGTTCCTCTTAGTACACACAGAAGAAGTCTACCACCCAAATATTGAACTCAATTTTAAGCTAGTCAAATGATTAAATCTGACTTAATTTTTAAACTTATCTTTTTGAGAATTTTATAAATGTATACAATGTGCTATGACTCTAAGCTTCAACTCTCCTGGACCCTCTGGAACATGTCCCCTAGTCTTTAAAACTAATATCCCACTACATCTAATTAAGTTTTGCCTTTATGTGTGTGGGTACAAGGTACTGGAGCACGAGTAATTTACTAGTGAGCACACTTTCAAAGAAAATTGACTCTGCCCACCTTAGTTACCATCAACTGCCAAAAGCTCCTCTTCAATTGGTGCTTGAATTTTGGCTGGCAAACAGGTGACCACAGCTGTTGTGAGTTTGTGAGTGCAATGGCCATGTCATGTCCAGAAGACAGAATTCCATAGCTCCACACCTTACCCCCCAGCTCTTAGGGTTACAAATACTAAAGCAAGTTAGCCACACTATACTGCTTAAAACCTTTTTATTAACTGACCCAAACACTTCATTTTGTTTTCTGATTTGAGGTAAAACCATTAAACACGGCTCACAAGAAAATACAATGACTATTTAACTACAATTACAAGAGTTTGAAACCTCACTAGTTGTTCATATAATACTTTTACAAATTTATACAACTGTAGAGTCTACTTAAGCTAGGTTTAGTATTAGCCAAAAGAGTATTATCCAAGACCTAGACACTTGACTACTACTTTTGAAGTGACTACAATTTTGTAACACCAGAAAGATCTACCTGTTACCTTAGGAATGTATTTTCCTTTAAAAATCACTCAGCTAATGCCATGTAGTGTTTTCGCATTCTTCAGAGATGACGGAGGAGACTTTCTGAAAAGCACACACCTATTCCTGCCCTGTATGTTCCTCTCAAATTTCACATCTGGTCAAATAACCACATAACCATTGCCCTGATATAAGCAATACAACTGGGAAGCCAGACCCATGATCCTCATGTGTTTAGGGTTTTTTTTGTTTTTTGGTTTTTTTGCAAAGCTCTACACTTTGAATGTTCAGATGCTGTTTTAGTCCCAACTGTCAATTACTATGTGTGAGAGAGTTACTGTATGTGTTGAGAGTGTCCACAACAAGGACAAGGACAGTTAAATCGGCCCAGAAACACGGGAAATGTGTTTGTCCCAATTAAGCCAGACATAACATTTTCATTTTGTTACTGGACTACTCTCTTGAATCAATACCATAGCTTTTGGAACACTGCAGATTTGCTTTAGAGGTAGATAAAACAGAAATCATGCAGTTAGGTCAAATGAGGAAAATGGGCTTGTTTTTAGAGAACAGCAAAACTAGAAGTTGATCCTTCTTCACTCTTAGTACATTTACCATTTTGAATAGTTTGTGGAAATACCCAAGTCTTTTCTCTTTCTCGGGAAAATCAAATTGCAATTCGGCTTGTTCTAACTACAGATAGAAGAAAAACAGCATTAACAGTTGCATGGCAGCACTGCAGTTCACTTCCTGGATTTGTGACACAAACGTATCATGCATTCTAAGACAATTTTACCAGTGTCACTAGTGATATTAATTAACAAAAAATTACAGCAAGTTCAAAACTTTTCTAAATATTGAAATCACTATGTTTTAAAGACAGACAGACTCGAATGTTACAAATGATTTTGCAAAATACAAAAATAGATATGCGTCCACTGAATGCTTTAATCATTTTTCCGAGCATTCTCATCTTTTGGGTCTTCATCATCTGAGTACACAGTCGGCTCCTCCCCTTCCTTCAGCAGCTTACCCACATGATGATACTTGACTGGGGGTAGAGAAGAAAACACAAATGGTCACTCTCATGCTTTACAAAAAATCCCCACCACACTTCATTTTAAAGCATTTATGAGATGTTCAAACTGTATAGTCAGCAACATGTTAAGTTTCTTGGAGGATATAAAAGGATTATATCATACTCTTTGCCAAAAATGGAATGAAGACTTCTGTTTAAAACACAGAAATATAAAGCAGCAAGCAATATGTGGTGGTATCAAAATGAACTGAGCACCCTGGAGGGAGTATTTGCAGTAAGACCTCACTATGTAATAGGGGGGTGTAGAGTACTTCATGGAAGAGAGACATGCTTTGGAAAATGTATGGATGGACTTGGAGTGAGGGATATTTCCAGAAAAATGAAAACACATTCAAAGGTACACAAGCAAGACTGGACATATCTGGGAAGCCAGTAAGAACATGTCATCAGGAGTAGAACAGGTATTTGGAAATAGTAGGAGGTAAGTCTGGCTGATCAGTGTGTGGGGATATTATGAAAGACCTGAAAAGCCAGCCTGAGAAACTTGAACCTATAAGTGGCAAAAAAGTTTATAAGAGAAAGAATGACACAGCAAAATAGTACGCTGGCAACGTTATCAGCAAGATATGAAGGGCAGATTTCAGTAAGGGCAGTTGAGCAGGGTAACAAACAGGCTGGTATGCAGAACCAGATGTGAAGGAAGAGAGCAACAAGTAAGGTAAGATCCTTAGGAATAAAAGGGAAGGATATGATAGCTTAAAAACGAAAAACAAAACAAAACTGCAAACAGCTGTTAATGAAGTGGCCTGTGAACCAAAATGAGGACTGCAAAAAGGGAGCCACTCTGGAGGGCCACATGACAGGAGACCCACATGAACCAGAGATGAGAAATTGGCCCTGGACAAGAATCAGGTCCTATCCAGCTGTGGACAGGTCACTATAGGAGGAGGGACAGAAAGCGGAAGCAGTGCTCACAGGTAACTTAGCGTGTGTTAGACAGTAATGGGGTGGAATAATGGTTAAGTAGATAGGCAGGATAGTAGGAGACAGACTTTTCACAGCATGCAAAAAAGATGTAAGTAGTTAAAGGAATGACAAGGGACTAGGAGGGGATTGAAGATGTTGGAGACAGCGAGCTAGGTGTGAAACCAGAATCAGCAACCTCCAGGATAAGCAAGTGAATGCACATTCCCTTTCTGAAATGGGAGGGATGACAGGAGTAACTAACCCGTCTAAACAGGTAACTAAAGCTGCTTTTATGTGAAAGTCATTGGGAACAACCGAAACTTCCTTATTTGAATGTAGCATAGAGTGGGTGGTGGTGGCTTGGGACTGTGCAAAATAAATAAAAGCCAAGTGGCACCTTAAGGGGAATCCACAATGACTCTGAGTGTAGCTGAGGTGACACAGCAGGATCTTGGGTTAGTCCTAGGTGAAAGGGGTGGTGAGCAAAAGAAAAATATCACCTCTTTCCCACTGATGGCAAAAAGCTCTGAATACAGAGCTTTGTGGGTTATAAATTACAACTCTTTAGTTTCATATAGAAGACTATGATTACAAAGGCATTTTGGGGTGCAAAACTAATGACAATGTCAGGCAGCTAGGTTGTATTCAAAGTCCAAAGATTTGGTCCTGACTTGAAAGCTATACTTGGTCTGTCCGAGATCCAAACTCAAAAGGTAGTGTCACATCTGGTTAATTTTTAACTAAGAACTCTCTTGGGTTATTCTGAAAAATATGGTTGGATATAGCCAAAAGAGCATGTGTTATTTAACTGATTGTGGGGATCAGTAAATAAAAAGCTCCCCCTCCACCCCAAAACATCTTCGTCAAAGTGACCATAGTCTTCACATACATTGCATAAAGTCTGGCAAAGAGTACTATAGTTCAAATCTGTGGCAGTGAAGTAATCTTAAAATGATAATTTAACCCTTGGAACTTACTATTGAAGTAAATCCCTGCATTGTTATGATTTGAATTTAACCCCTTATTTCTACATTAATTCTAAAAACTTTACCCCCCCCAATACACACAATATAAGCCTGAAACAAGTGTTCCTTTTTTCTTTTAAAAAATGCAAGCATCATTGTTGCCAGGCAGATTATAAGCAGCATTTATAGATGAGGCCTAATTTATAGTTAGGAGAAGCTGTTTGGAAAAACACAAGTCTCCCATTCTTCTACAGAGCTGTGGGCTGCTTTTAAACAGTAAGAGCTACACGAGAGGGCTTATGAAAATCTCTTTCTGTAGGTAAGAGGGCCACTGTTCTTTCCCCTACATACCCAATATGGAATCTATATACCTTTATGTGAAAACTTACACATCAAAATCAGAAGCCCAAGTTTATGTAGAGGACAAGCTAAAAATTGGTATGCCATCATAGCAAATGACTCAGCACTGCCACCATTTCTTTATGCCATAAAGTTGATCAATCCAAGATTTAAGAGCCTATTAAATTGCACTCATGTTTCAGGTGCTTCATACTAACTATTGTTTGATCACAAATCTGCATTACTAGTAGAAATTTGATCCTGGCAAAATCTAAAGCAATGCTTACAAGTGAACTGAGATTCCCAGTCACTCAGGGTCTCCTGCTGGGCAGCAGTGAGGTCAGAAAGGTCGTCATACTCATCCTTCAGTGCTTCTTTATCCAGGCAAAATGTGGCAAGGCCCCTGGATGCATCTCTTCCGGCAAAGACCCCGTATGGCCCCTCTTTAAAAACAAAATGAAACCAAAGACAGATTCTTTACTACATGATACATTCTCTGTGGCTCATATACACAGAAGTTGGCTTCTCTGCTCTCAGCACTGAGAGCCTCCTTTTAAATTTCAAGTTCCATTCTTAAGCTACATGTATTCTGACACTTTGATCATTACATAAGGGACACTGAAAGACTGTCACTTTGATGAGGAAAATTAAATAAAAATGTGTAGCATCTGTAATCTATGACTTGCACATAGCTAATATAAGCATAAGTGATTCTTTTAGGGGTGGCCTTGGTAGGGAATGATTATACAGTCAGTGAGTTAGAATTCAGCTTGAGGACTTTGTATCTACAGGTTGGCTCTATTCTAGGTGCTTGAGCCAAGCCAGTCCAAGTTTCTTAACCACCAAAGTGTAAAGAAAACATCCCTTATCAATGTATTCCGATATGTTTTAAATGATCTTTGGTTGCAAGACTCAAACCCTGAGGCATCTGCAGAAGAAATCATTTTATAAATATCAGTGGTTCAAAAATCTATCCAGATGTTATGTAACCTTCACTGTCAAAAAAATGAAACAGAGACCAGTTTTGGTACTGTTTTTAAATATAAGCATAAAGAATGAAGAGTTGTGAAAACACTAAAATTTTCACTGAAAAAAGGCTACCACCAGTACCTCCAAATAATCTGTAAAACCTGGAAAATGCTCTTATGTATTACATCATACTAAGCTTTTGTCTGAGAGCAGTGATTACTTGGACTTATTTAAATATTGCACAAGCTAATAAAAAGAATTCAGTGTACATTTAAACAATGCCTTGTTTCCACAAAAGTAGGCTGGATAGTAACTGACATTATAATTATTATACCAAGTAGGAGAATGAATCGTATTGCATTACAATGTGGTTATCTGAAACCTTAATTGACCCAACTGTTTTTCTTTTTTACATATTAGATGAATTTTGTGATCTATTTTTTGGTAGGACTGGGGCTTTGCATATTCTAGGTAAGCACTCTACTGCTGAGAAATATTTCAAACCCTTATGGTCAACTTGTAAATGCAATTAAGATTCTAAAACATGGGTTGTTTTTAGTCATCATTAAATATTACTGGAGACAGTTAAAAAATAACTTCACATGCTTTTCAAAAATGTATACTGTTAATGGTCAAACAAATTATTTTGCTTTGAATTACACCATTTTAGAAATGAAAATATT